TATTGAATAAACACATCCGCCGTATAGTGTACTCAACACTACACATGACAGCAATAGTGTTGACAATACCATACGATTAACGCTATTGTTGTTTGCATTTATTTGCATGAAATATATGGACACAATTGTCCACAATATATCTACAAATGGTTTACATTTTGTAATAATTGTCAATACAATGGAAACCATGAAAATGGTGGTTAAAATGGCAATCCATGTGTTTGTGTCAAACGGTTTAAATAGACTTAACGATTGTTTGAGTGTTGGTGTGGGAGATGTGAATGTGATTACATCTACAATGTGTGGACAAACCAAATCAATCACTTCACGCCTGACCAGTGAATAAGTCAACTGTCCTATACCTATATCAGCTATCTGCAATTAATTGTGATTATCTAATCATAATATTCAATTTAATATAAAAACTAACAAGCTTACTTTTGTTTGTAACAATCCAACAATGCCACCAAATGTACCATTGGCCATTATCGGACCATCCCAATGACCATGTGTGTCAATTACATGTACAGTAAAATTCCATTTATTTTTTAATGTATCTAATAATCTAGATTCAATACCGCCAATAATCGTGGTTGTATTGTCGGTCTGATTAGTTGCAATAAATATCAGCGGCCGTATCTAATGTTAAATAATAGTAGATAAATTATATAAAATTAATCGTGGTTACTATAATTACCATGGTTGTGGCAACTGTTAAACTTTGTCCCATTAGATCAAGCATTGTAACAATTTTAGTTTTTTTTACAACAAAAATAATTGTAAGTTAGAAAGTATTTGGCAAAAATACAAGTAGTTGTAAATATGGAATTAAAAGTATTAAATCTAGCACTTGTTTAAATGTTTTTGAATATAAAGTTAATTTAAATAAATTAATTGCATGTTAAGTGTTTAAATATATTATGTAAACATTTTTCCATTAAGTAAATAACATTATGTTTAATTCAATTAATGTTGTTATTATAATCATATTTTAATATAAATTTTGATTTATTAATACAACTTTATTTACATAAACTATGCACGTAAAATATTGATTTTTTTGTTTTGTTTTGTATATTATTTTTGTCATATATTAATTTTTTGCTTTGTGGTTAATGTTAAATATCGACAATATATTGCGGTAACTTTTTATGAATATAATTGGCCCAATCAAGTTAAATTTAAATTAAATACTGTTTGATAAATAAATTTTATTAAAATTTTGAGATATTAAAATACAAATATTTGAGGCTAGAAATTTTGAACGGATAGCACACCCCTTGTGGGCATTTATTTTTACATTACTTATTCCTAATGATATTTTAAAACATGGTATATATTCTTAAAATAATAGCAAATAATTATGAGCTTGGTGATTGTAATTTCAGCAACAAATATAATGGTTGAATACGAGTACAATATTAGTAGTTTTATAGTTAATAGGCGAATATTTGTCAAACGCAACTGGGTTATTTGAGATTGTTCCTGAACCTCAATATGTGCACTATGTTCTATGTGGTCAATATCGAGGTGAAATAACTCGCAGTAAAGTATTATTTCCCAATGTTGTATTAAGCCGGCTTGCTTAATGTTGGATACACTAGGAAAAAGATATATAATTAATTTTGATCAATAATATTTACTTAACATAATTAATGAATTTATTACAATTTGTTTAACTCGTGTGTATATATTGAATGTTTTTGTAAACCAATGCATAAAAAATCTGCGAAAAATTGTGTGTCAATCGATAGTTTAGGTAATGTTTGCCGTCGTATGCGATAGTAATGCAGGAAAAATTGAATAAAATTTCTTGATTCAATTAATGAATAGATTTTATACCTATATCAGCTCTCTGTAAATAATTACCTAATCATAGTATTCATTTTAATATAATAATTTATAAACTCACTTTTGTTTGTAACAAGCCAACAATGCCACCAAATGTACCATTGGCCATTATTGGACCTTCCCAATGATGATGTGTGTCAATTACTTGTACAGTAAAATTCCATTTATTTTTCAATGTATTTAATAATCTAGATTCAATGCCGTCAACAATCTTGGTTATATTGTCTGTCGGATCAGTTGTTAGAAATATAAACGGCCTAACCTAATGCCAAATAAAGATGATAAATTATACAAAATCAATCATAGTTACTAATAAGTTATAATTACTATAGTGGTGGCAACTGTTAAACTTTGTCCCATTAGATCAAGCATTGTAACAATTTTAGGTTGTTTAACAACAAAAATAATCGTTAGTTAAATGGTATTTTGCAAAAATACAAGTAATTGTAAATGTAGGATTGACACGTATTAAATCTAGCACTTGTTTGAATTGTTTTTGAATATAAAAGTTAATTCAAATTAATTTATTACAGTATCTTACGTTTATTGATATAAACTTACTATGTTTATATTAAACACAAACATTTTTTCCATTAAAGAAATAACATTATCTTTATTTGAATTGATGTTATTATTGTAAACATATTTTAATATAAATTTTGATTTATTAATATAACTTTATTTATATTAACTAAATGTTATGCACATTATAATATTGATTTTTTGGTATTTGTTTTATACATTATGTTTGTCAAATATTAATTTATTATTGATACTATGAAATATTGACAATACATTACATGGAGCTATACTTTAAATGAATTAAATTTAAATAATTATGAATTAATTAGGGAATACATATATTGACTCGTGTACAAGAAAAATATTAATTATCATCATGTACAATAAAATTAATTATTTAATTTTGTCTGCCTCGAACTTAAAAATAAAATTAATTTATTATTTCTACCATCACGGGAACTTTTATATTATTATTAGATGATAATATTATTTATTTTATTATTTTCAATATTTATTATATTAATTATAATTATCATATTATATATATTATCTTAGATAACTTATATTATACATTAGTATCTATTTAAGAGCTACAGTATATTAACTTAAGCAAATAAATATAAAAATGTGTGAAAATAAATTAATATTTTATTCATTTTATTGCACTGTTATTTTATACATGCTGTAATTATTTTTTTAATGTTTATTGTATTATTTATAACCACAATTCATGTTTAAAAAATATGATTTATAGGATCGTTCGGCCCCCACTCTATGAAAGTTAATATGGGATTAGAGCTTAATTCTATGGCAATGCTAATCTTATGGGTAATGTTAAGTCTACCAATAAAGATAATCCTATGAGTAATGTTAGTCTAATGATCTAATGTTAAATCTATGTAAAATGCTAAGTCTAGGAATTTCTTTGAGAATGTTAAGTAAGAGCACTGCTTGTGAACCTTGTTTATTATTGAGGAATATTTTTACTTACATGTAAATATAATTAATATATTATGTAAAACATTTCATTGTATTTTCTTTGTTTGCATCGGTAATAGCGAAGAGAATTATTTTTTCTAAAAATACTTTGTATAAAATCATTATCAATTACAATGTATTTTAAGTTAAATACTTCTATAAACAATCAATTACTTATATTTTGTAATTTGTTAAATATTTGTACATATTTAATTCTTCTATTTATAGATTTAGATTACAAAACGAGATTAATTTTATTTGATTTTTCCCTATTTATTGGTGGCATTCAATCGTTCACTACATTGGCATTTATGTTAGGGTTTTGTTGGGCACTAGTATTGCGAGTATTGTTTTACACCGAATTTACGGCAAAACACATGAATTATTGGACAAAACTATTGGATGTAATAAATGGCAAATTAAGTGCTCGTGTATTACATATGAATGACAGACATAATTTAATTCTTGGTAAACTACGAGCTAGGACAAATACATTAAATATGATAACAAAGATTTGTTCATGGTTTGTTTGTAAGTATAATTTTAATTATAGTTTTATATTATTGTATAATCAATATATCAATTTTACATAAATATAATTATTTCTATCATATGAAAATTTTCTACAAATTTTGTTAGTATTTATTTAAACAATTTAATATAATTGTAGATTTAATATTTACCATGGTATTTACATCAATTTGTTTTAAATACTATTCATTTAAGCAATTCATTCAAACAATTATGTTCTTAACCGCGATGTCTATTAGTATATTTTACGGAACATTTGATATTTTCAAAACAGTTACATATTTTTATATTATTTGCTACTATTTTCTATTGAGAGGAAAATTATTAAATAAAAATATATTAAAAAGTAGAAACAAATTATTTGTCTCTAAAATAAAATGTTATCAAATATTTTCTGAACACAACATTATATGCAAACAAATTGAATTGTTTAATAAGTTTTGGAAAGGATATTACTTATTATTTATTATTATTTTTATGATTTGCAGTTTATTATTATTGGTTATGATCATTTTCACTGAATTGGAATTATTTACGTTTATTCTGTATTTATATGGATTAATATTTACCTGGTTATTTATATTTTTTATTTCTTATTGTGCATCAATGGTATCAAAATCAGTGCATTTATCACATAATAGTGTGATTTCAATGCAATTCTCGATTAGATATAAAAGTGATGTTAAGTTAAAACTAATGGCATTTNTATCAAAATCAGTGCATTTATCACATAATAGTGTGATTTCAATGCAATTCTCGATTAGATATAAAAGTGATGTTAAGTTAAAACTAATGGCATTTATAGAGAAATTACTGTCAAAACGACTCATAACCGGCTTTTCTGTCGGAACTCTATTTGTGATGACTTTTCCTAAACTATTATTTGTATGTATTTTATAATTCAGTACAAATTATTATTTATTAATTTTTATATTTTAAATTCTAGATAACTGTAATGTATTGTCGATATTTGCTTTTGACAACAAAATTGGCTAAAAAACTTATAAATTAAACATCTATGTAAGTATACAAATATATTTAATAGTGTTTTTAATATCGTACATATAATAATCAATAATAATCATTATACATCAATAATCACTGTATAATGTTTAATTCAAAAATTAAACAAACAAATAAAAGCAACTTTATTTTACTATGTAATCGATTTAACACAAAACTGATGGACCGCTATTTTATATGTTTTTATGAACCATGTTTTTAAATTAATTTGTTTTGCTCCCACATTTATTTAAAACCGTTATGTTTATAATTATTATTGTATTTTTCGCTACATTTCACATAATTTTATATTATTAATGCTTTGTAACTTCTTAATTATTTAAATTTTATATTAATGTGGTGCGATTTATGTGAAATTATAATTATGTTATTGTTGCAAATAAATTATACCAAATATATATATTTTAAATATATACTGTATATTCGTTTTATTCTAACTTTTGTTAATTTTAAAAAAGTTACAATTACTGCTTAATAACTGAACGTAAATACTAGACAAATATATTTATATTTACAATATCAATTATTATCTACAAATTGTTAATTTAATTGGTCTGCATAATATAATAACAATAAAATTCAAATGGGCTATATGATAACATTATCATTATTAAACTTTATAAAATTATTTATTATATAAAGTCTTAACATGTTTTAAGAAGTATTACATTAATATTATTATTACATGTAATTATGTATTATAACATTAATTCCATTACTTTGGCTCAAAACAAACTTATTAAATATTTTCTCATTTTATAAATAATATTATAACATCATTATGTTACTGCAAATATCAGGGCCCCAAAAAAGTAATGCTCATTTTTGATTCAAAATGTAAATTTATTTTATTCACAAGATAATTAACTTTAATCAATGATATATTCTCCATCATTATTGACAACTGTCTCCCATTGTGTCACCAATTTTTCAATTTCCTAATTGAAGATTAAACTTGATTTTAAGACAAAAACTGAAGACACCCC